TATTGAAATGCACTTCTTTATAATAAATTATTCAATATTAGTCAGTCGATATGTGTATTTTTACTCACTATTCAAGCAATTGGTATTTCCTCTATTTAAATGCACTTCATTGTGCTATATCATTCTATATATTAGTCATGTGTACTTTACTTGCTATCCAAGTTATTTGTATTTTTTATCTTGATGAAATGATTGTAAACACGCAACTTTTATATAACCTAATAACTTTTTTCCGCAAGGTTATCAATTTGCTCACTTGTTTTCGTCTTTTTTATTTCATATATCTCAAAATCTTTTAGTGATATTCATTTCGAAAGCCACTTTCTGATTCAGATGCTTTTGCATAACATGCTGGCAGTTTCAATGTGAGAGAATTATCTCACACATTTCTAGAACTAGTCTGAAATGGAGAAGCTCAGGAGTTCGTTGTCGAAGACTCTAAAAGATCTCGGCAGTTCATTCTCCGAGGATGTTAATGTGAGTGTACTCGTTCTGTATAACTTCTGTGACACTTCTTTCGATAGCCGCTTTTTAGATGGACGACATGTCCGATTTTATTCCATCCCCGTATGAAGGTGCATTATCCAATTGTGGTCCAGAATCTAGTGCAGAGCTTGTAGAGAAGGTCGGCCGCTTCTGTCCTTTTATATGTTGTCTTACATTCTTCATTCTTCGGAAATCCCAATCTGTTTAGATTCCCGTACGCAATGCCGTCTCTTCAACACCAGTAAGTGACGACGACATTATTGACAGCATCGATGCGTGCTATTTCATAGAAGATGACTTTGACGCTATCGACTATGAGTTGAAGGTAAACACAGAGCTCAAAGAAAGTTCTGTCTAAGTTTGTTTGTACCAGAAATAGTAGATTGTTGTCCCTAGATTTAATTTTGATTCTGTGCGCTATGTCTTAGTAAAAGATGGTTTTTTAGAAACTTGCCGGGATTGACCTGGTTTTGGAGGACGTGGTTCGTGAGCGCCTGCGGTTGAAATCTCAATTGCAAGTAGTTTCGAGAAAAATATCAACTTTAATAATGGAAAAGGTAAGCTGCATCTGCTTCTTTCAATCTTTGCGTGCTCTTTAACGAGCAATTTAGCTGTTTACTGTCTCATTTCAATCCAACTGTGCTATTTTGTATTAATTGGACAATATCCGATTTTGTTCTTTTTACTTATTCCAGCATAATAACTATACTTTGTGAACACTTTTAGTCACCCTCGTACGGCTCGCAGCTTGAGGATTTAGACAGTATACGGGACAGCTTAAAGGATCTAATTGTCCTCATCCGCACGATAAGACGGTACACTATCTCATAACAGTAGTCTTGTTTTTTTT